TGTAGGGCTTGACTTTTTGTTACTGTGTCATAATAAGACCTAAATTTTCACTTTTTTAATTGTTGGTTTTTAGTTTAAGTCATTCTCAATATAAGGCATAATTTTACATACGACTTTTCAATTTAAGACTTCAAATCACTTTGATTGGATATAATTATGTAAACCACAATACTCTTTTTGAAAAATAAAAATTATTTAATAAATAATTAAAGATATTTATAGTAAAATTACTTTAATAAGAAAAATAATTCATGTAAGCTAAATTTATATTGCATAAAATTTAACTATTTTTTATTAATTTTCTTACGAAGTTAGTTTTTACAAATATATTTAATACTTTTATTATAGGCATTAATTTTATATATTCTTAACCTTTTCAAATATTTTAATGTTATCACATATTTGGATTAAAACTAAGTTAAAATTATTTTTTTGACTTTTAAAATAATTTTCATTAAGCTTTTGCATAGAGGTAAATTATGAAATAAATATTTTATTTGGTAATTTTACCATAGACATGAAAGCAAAATAGAAAAAAAAATTACTAAAGATATTTAATATTTTTTATTATAAGTATTTAAATAATAAATTTAAACAGAAAAGAGTATTGTGATTTACATAATTATAGAAAAATACAAGGTGATTTGGAGTCTTAAATTGGAAAGTATAACGTAAAAGTAAGTCTTATATTGAGAATAACATAAAACTGAAACCCTCAAATAAAAAAATTAAAAATTCAAGCATTATTGAGACACAATAATAGTAAGTCAAGCGAATTTTCCCCTTGCCTAACACATGCGTGGTAATGTAGGTTGTTTGTCCCATTTTTGTTGCATTTTTCTTTGTTATTTTTTCTTTCTTTTTCCCCCGTTTTAGGTCTTTCCGTTGGTTTTTATTCATTTTTGTAGTTTAATGTGTGTTTCTCTTTGTTGTAGACTCCTCTATGTTTTTTAGTTTATTTTCCCGGATTTCTACGTTTTTGTCGTCTTGAATGATGTGCAGGTTGAGTTCCTTGATCATTTTGATATGGGGGAGGAAATTATTTTGGTAAGCACAATTTCGTAGAAGGGTTCGTCGCCATTACACGGGAAAAAACGGAACCAGATTCTGTTTCTAAACGAGCGTAACTGAGCCCGAGACATGAAGCAGTAAAAGGTAGCTAAAGCTCTTGACAAATTCCAGCGCCGCGGCAGCCCATCCTTCCTCGTGACGCGGTGCACAGCGCGACGCCCACCACGGGGCATTCAGAATGTCGTTCCATGCTCCCCCACGCCGTGCAGGACCACCACGCCGCTGCAAGCACTCCTCCCGCGCCATACAAGACCACCACGTCATTGCAAGCACTCCTTCCGTGCAGTGCAGGACCACCACGCCGCGACACCGTTGTTCCTTCCTTGCGCGCACCTAGTTTTTCTTCGTCGCGGCTGCCGGAGAGGAAGTCGCGACCGCGGGACAATGTTCTGCTTCGAAAAAGTCGCGGCCGCGGATCTATACTTCACCACGGCCCGCGGGCATCTCCGCGGTCGCGGAGGTCGTGAAAGCAAGATTTTAATAGCATAATCCAAAACGATTTTTATTACGTTCTATTCTAGGTTTTGAGTTGTTCTCGTTCGTTTCACCAAAAAAACTCCTACTTTTTCTTAGTTTTTCTTAGGGATTCATCTTTGAGAGTGAAAAACTCCAAGATTAGTATTTCCGAATTTGGATTGCTCGTTGTTTATCGACATTGGATTTCATGTTAATCGTAAGTTCTTATTTTCATTTGAATATGAATATGATGGCTTGCTTAATTGTGAGTGTTTGTGTTGAGATTGTTGTGAGTAGGTAAATCTATATGCTAGGGATATGGAATTGATGTTTCGGAATCGTTTGTGATTGTTGAGCTCATGATTGTTCAATTTGTACGAGTTGATCTTTTTCTAAGGTTTTCAATCATCATTCGTGAGTTTTGAGAATTGTTGAAGGGTGACACTTCAACTTTCAATTGTTTCAATTGAATTCGATTAATTCGTGCTTAATGTTGATAACTCTAAACAGACTAGTTGATTAACCACCTTCTAGTCCTCTTTAATCGACTCTTAGAAACGAAAGGGGAGGAGACGGTCGAAATAGGCTAGTATAAATTAGGTTTTTTCGTAATTGTATTGCCTAGGTGTTAAATGACTTGTTAACTTGTCGTTTAAGTTTGTTCTCTTGTTACGAAGAGTTATTGAGAATGAGTACTTGATGAGCCGGTTATTCAAATCACTTAACCGAACAATCTCTTGTTTGATAATTGCATTTCGAACCAAATGATATCCCCGACTCCCTAGTTTCTTAAATCTTGGTTGTTCTACGTGTTAGCTTGCTGTTTCAATTTGTGTTGTTTAAATTTTAGTTGTTGATATTTAAAAGCCAAAATCAATCTTTGATCTAGATTGTTTAGGAATTTTATTTCATTTATTTGTGCGTGAATAAACGTACAAAATATTCTGGCTAACATTCATCGAGAAACACAACCCGTGTTCGAATCTTTCGATTCTACTCGAAAAAAATATACAACATAGTTAATTGGTTTTTGTGGATCAAAATGTAAAAAATACATACATATATATAAAAGGAAAAACAAATAAAAGTAAATTAATGAAAAATGAAGTACGCAAAAGTCAAAGCTGCGTTTGACAATCACAACCACACATTGATAACAACTTGAGTTAGGCCATCTATCTAATTAATTAACCCAAACCTTCCCTCCCGCCACCTAACATAATACCATCAATGCCCTCAACAAGTGTCTTGTTATCAATTTATCATCCACAAATGACCTATTAAAATTCAACAAGTTCACTTGATAGCGCTTGGATGAGATGACTTGGGTCTCTTCCAGCTTAACCAGTGGTCTCGTGTTCGAACTTTGAGAATGCAATAGTGTTAAAATTTCTTGAGGGAGAGCTTTGCCGCCCTTGTGGTCCTACTCGACTCGATTCCGGATTAGTCGGTTCCCCTGTGGATCCGAAAACCGGAAGGTCCCTGTACCAAAAAAAAAAATTCAACAAGTTCGAGTACTAGACCAAGATTTCGTCTAGACGATTTAAAATTCATATGAAAATATTCAACGAAAATATAAAATAGGAATATCCATTGGAAAATATGGTGTATAAATGACCTCGATCAGACTCGAACAATCTGGATCCTCTCTTTACCCGTTCAACGTACCAACAAAACAACACTGGGAGGTGTCCCGACGTAGAAACTCCAGCGACCAAGTCAGTATATGGATAGAAGACGATCAACTGTGACTGCATAGTTTGTATGTATATAAGAGTGTGTAGAGTGTAAATGAACATGCATCACCCTTTTAGATAGGGGTGTTACCTTGTTGCCCGAGACTGCTAGACTAGGTACCCGATTGCCCGAGTTACTAGTTCGTACTACTCGGATTCTCGAACTGCCCGATTTTGTTAGATCACATGGTCTCGTCCATATTTGGTTCATATGAAAATAATATTACTTCGTATATCTTAAGTAATGTGTTCACATTAGCCTACTCATTAGACAATCTAATTGTGCGACCGACCAACTCAACGTCCTGTAACCCAGGTTGCTTCGAGCTCTCAGGCACGAACTTCGTCCTTCAGGTCGCGCCAACAACTTGCGTCCAGGTCGAGCAGGTTGCCTCCAAGTCGAGTTTGTATCAGGTTAGTCAAGAGTTATAGCTCGACTTGCTGATGAGCTCCCTTATCGACGAGGTCACCATCGATGTCTGGTGCCCTTGCTATTCGATCAACTTTCAAGTCCGTCTAGCCGAGTCGAATCACTCTTTAAGTCACATTCGACCTAGTATGTGGTATCCCATATCAACATCGTAGTTGGAGTTCTATTTGAATATATATTTTTGTTGAAATGTTTTGCTTTATTGTCATCCTTTTATTAGTAATCAATTTTTTCTGATTTGTTTTGTATCATTATTTTATATTCAAGAATTATATGAATTGGAACACTAAATCACATTATATATATATATGATTTAAATGTATCGAATATTCATTTCGTTAATAATAATTCTATAAAAATATATTATATAGAATGTAAAATTTCATTCATATAATATATATATATATATATATATATATATATTTTGTATTTAAGATATGTACACATTGAAATATTAATATACAAATGTTATATATGTGTGTTTATAAATACTAATGAATTTGGAATTGTATACATTCAATTATCTAAATCAAATACAAAATACAATTTAAAATTTTTAATAAATCATATATGAAATCGAATAGTCGAATATTTTATAATTAAGAATCAAATAGTTCAATATTAATTTTTCTTCTTCTTATTATTATTAAATATATGATGATAATACAAAATTAGTAGTTATTCTTAATCACTGGAGAGAAATCTTTATCCTGATTCCGTAGTAAGAATTTTCTTGGATAAAGTCAATTATCGTGACAAAAGTGAAAAACTATACAGAAGAAGACCAAATTACTGCCTCACTATAATGTCCCATGATAAGATATTTTTTTTAATAAAACTATATGAACAAAGAATATTATTTGTATTTTACCCAAAAACGCTTGGATGAGATGACTTGAGTCTCTTTCAGCTTAACCTGTTGTCTCGTGTTCGAGCCCTGAGAATGCAACAGTGTTAAAACTCTTGAAACTCTTGAGGGAGAGCTTTGCCGCCCTTATAGTACTACCCGACTCGATTTGACCCAGAAACTGGAATGTCCATGTATTAAAAAAAATATTATTTGTATTTTTTTTCATTATTTTTTCTTTTCCCCAATTTTCAAACACCAAAATATTCCTCTAGCTGACCCCGCGTTTTCTACTCTTTCCTATAGTTCAAGACTCTCTCTCTCTCTCTCTCTGTGTGTGGTGATAGGCTAGCTACAACCACACCATCTTCCTTCTCAACCTACGCCACCGCCGATCACCGCCACAGACGGCGGCGCAGCCAGTTTCTCAAGAAAAAAGCTCCCAATTAATCCCCACCTCATGGGGAATTGCAACGCGTGCATGAGGCCTTTGGAGCCCGAGCCACTGACACCCAAATCCGAAACAACCCCCAAACACCGCAAAAAACACCGCGACCGCCGTCCCAACCCCTTCGCCCAGTCCCCTTCCGCGAACCGCGTGCTCAAGGACCTCGCTCCACAGGCCAGGATCTCCGACAAGTACACGCTCGGCCGCGAGCTCGGCCGCGGCGAGTTCGGGGTCACCTACCTCTGCACCGACCGGGAGATGCGCGAGGCCCTCGCTTGCAAGTCGATCTCGAAGAAGAAGCTCCGGACGGCGGTGGACATCGAGGACGTCCGGCGCGAGGTGGCGATCCTGTCGAGCCTGCCGGAGCACGCCAACATCGTGAAGCTTCGGGCCACGTACGAGGACGAGGAGGCGGTGCACCTGGTGATGGAGCTCTGCGAGGGCGGGGAGCTCTTCGACAGGATAGTGGCGCGTGGCCACTACAGCGAGCGGGCGGCGGCGGGTGTGGCGAGGACGATTGCGGAGGTGGTGAGGATGTGCCACCAGCACGGGGTTGTGCACAGGGATCTGAAGCCGGAAAACTTCCTCTTCGCGAATAAGAAGGAGAATTCGCCGCTCAAGGTCATCGATTTTGGGTTGTCGGTGTTTTTCAAGCCTGGTAGGTGTCGATTTAGGGTTTTTAATGAGATTATGAGAATTGGGTTTCAGATTTTACCATTTTTTTTTTTCGTTCTTATTTTGGATTTTCTCTCAATGGAGCTTAAAAAAAATACTTTTTGCTTCAAATTTATGTTTAGTTGGGTTCTTTGCTGGAAAAAATGATCAATTATATGGAGATTAAGATTAGTGTGTTGAAAACACACAATTATATGGAGATTTACTTACTATTATTGTTGATACTGCAGGTGAAAGGTTCACAGAGATTGTGGGTAGTCCATACTATATGGCACCAGAGGTTTTGAAGAGAAATTATGGACCTGAAGTTGATGTGTGGAGTGCTGGGGTGATTCTCTATATTTTGTTATGTGGTGTTCCACCATTTTGGGCTGGTAATTTTCCTTTTCTTCATCAAAAAATATATTGTCATACAGATAAATATCTCCCAAAGGTCGTCTTGATTTTGGTTCCAATATTTGCTGCAGAAACTGAACAAGGAGTGGCACTTGCAATTTTAAGAGGAGTGATTGATTTTAAGAGGGAACCATGGCCACAGGTTTCTGAAAGTGCTAAAAGCCTTGTTAGGCAAATGCTGGAGCAAGACCCCCAAAAGCGTTTGACAGCTCAGCAGGTACTAGGTAAGTTTGGTTCGAGTATTTTCCTTATGACCACATTCGTGAGAAGTGTGAATAAAGTGACATAAATGCTGCCTGTAAGTTAGTTTGTCTGATGATTTACGGAACTCGGTTATTTACATTTTGTCAAATCTTTGTTATGAAAAATAGTATTCTTTCAAATTCAGAGAATATGATTCTTCTACCAACATTGTGGACTATACAACATCCGTAATATGCTCTTCTCATTCTTATTTGGTCAGAGCATCCATGGATTCAAAATGCTAAAAAGGCTCCAAATGTTCCACTGGGAGATATCGTGAGGGCAAGACTCAAGCAGTTTTCTGTCATGAACAAATTCAAGAAGAAAGCATTGAGGGTAATCATCTAGCATCGGACATACGTAACTATGTTCTTGCTATTGCTATACACAATCATTGTTACAAGTGGTAAAGGGGTGCTTAATAATTTTAAGTTATTGTTGCCAAATATACAACTTGCTAGAAATTTGAGATTATAGGGATAGGTTTCTTTTGCATAAACTGTCGACCCTGTCCATACTGTTTATAGTTCACCAATTTTACCTTATATTTCTATATTTACCTTTTTTTTTATCCCTAAATGACTGTAGGTAATTGCTGAACATTTATCCGTTCAAGAGGTTGAAGTTATTAGAGATATGTTTGCGTTGATGGATACCGATGAGGATGGAAAGGTGTCATATGAGGAGTTAAGAGCTGGTCTGAAGAAAGTCGGTTCCCAGCTGGCGGAACCTGAGATTAAGTTACTGATGGATGTGGTAAAATCAGTTCTTGACCTTCGAAAACTTCATGATAAATTCCTTTATGACCAGACACACCCATTATGTTTTTATTAATTGTCTCGTATTTGGGAGCTTCCTTTATCCTAGTTCTTTACCTTCAAAGCTTCATATAAATTCCTCCATGACCAGGCACACGCATTTTGTTTTTATTGATTGTCTCATATTTGGGAGTTTCCTTTATCCTAGTATGTTAAACTCCTAGAGGATCTAAATATGGGAATGCAGCATGCTAATATATTGAGCTTCCTAATTATATAACGATACGGTTGGGTACTTAGCTAATTCAAACTTGTGACCTATATAGCATTTGAAATACTGTAACTATTCTAGTCCTTGGAGTATTTAATTCACTTTCACTTAACTGGTCTTTAATTTTTCTTTCAATTATCTTTCTTTTAAGTGAAGTATATCTGTTATTTATCTAGCTCATTGTTCATCATACTTCTCCATGTGATTGCATCTTTATGGTTCTAAACCCCACCGAGATTTTATGTTGATATGTAATAAACTGAAACGATGTACAACTGCCATGACATTATATGATAACAATGATCGATTTCTTCCAGGCAAGTTTTTGTCATCACAGAATCTTAGGTTGTGTCGAAACATATGTGACAATATAATAAGGTATACTCGAATTACATTTTAATGCTTCTAACTGTTTATGATGTTTTCAATAGGCTGATGTAGATGGCAATGGTGTGCTGGATTATGGGGAGTTTGTGGCGGTCACTATCCACTTACAGAGGATGGAGAATGACGAACATATTCACCGAGCATTTATGTTCTTTGACCAAGATGAAAGTGGGTACATCGAGCTTCATGAATTAAGAGAAGCTTTAGTGGATGAATCAGGCGAAACTGATCTTGATGTGCTCAATAACATCATGCAGGAAGTTGATACTGATAAGGTTCGACTAATTCCTTGCTCTCTCTCTCTCTCTCTCTCTCTCTCTCTCTCTCTCTCTCTGTGATTCTGTTAAGTTATTCCTACAAATTTCCAGCATACATATAAAGTCTTGCTTAGACAGTTTCAAAGCTGTATTAGGATTAACTAAGTGAAAGAATGAGCCACCCTTCGGATATGGCTAACAACATCCACAAGTCCATTGGATGCTACAAATATCCTTTTTAACTTTTACCTATTTCACATATAATCCTCTGAATAAGTCACACCTAATTAATTGATTATGAATATACTCTGTTTTTGGTGATTAAGGTATATAAATTTGTTGCATTACCACAATAATGATTCACCATACACAAGGTAAAAAATATACTCCCTCCTCCAGAAAGAAAAAAAAAAGAAAAGAAAAGAACAATAGTGAAGTAGAGAGAAACAAGAAAGATATTACAAATCATTTTCTCAACTCATATCAAACTTTTCTTAGCTAAGCAGCTTCTTCAGTTGCTTTTTACTAATAAGTAACAGCTGCTTCGTTCAGGATGGGAGAATTAGTTACGAAGAGTTTGTTGCAATGATGAAAACTGGGACCGACTGGAGAAAGGCATCCCGACAGTACTCTAGAGAGAGATTCAAGAGCTTGAGTGTTAACCTGATGAAAGATGGCTCTCTACAGCTCCAGGATGGATTTACAGGCCAAACTGTCGTAGTTTAGAAGTTGTCATATCCATCGATACACTTTATTCTTTACCTTAAGTCTTCCTGTAATCAGTTTGAATATGCACGGTCATCCTAGAATACCTTATATTAATTGCTTCTTCAGTGAAGAAAGTGAGGAGTGTTGTTAATGTTTGTGTGGTAACCTCATGTGTAATTTTTTTTGCTGAGTGTCTGTATATGTCCCTTACCTGAATACAGAAATTCATGATTTGAAATGTGAAATTCTGCAAAATGATTCATATATTCTTTGTGTTCTTTTCCAATGGGTAACTGCAGAAAGAAGTTGTATATTACAGCTCAAGAGTTCATTATTTGCATAGAAACACATATATTTTGTTGTCTGGCTTTTTCTTTATCTTCCATCTCCACTCCCCTTGTACCTGTACCACCTTGCACACACCACAAAGTACACGAAGTTCAATCCGCACAAAACCGCGACAAGGTAATAAAAATAGTCGAGCCTCCCCTTGTTC